GTATTTGAGGAGTAAACTGAAGTTGAAAGTGACAGCAATTTTATCCAATCAGTTTTCATTTTGCAAATGAGCATTTCAGCATGTGATTAAACCTTCCTGGAAAGAGACTAGATGAGTAAGAGGCTTGACATTTAAGCAGTATTAACTTCATGGTAAATTTACCACTGTATTTACATTTTTTTTCTTCTTACAGCTATTCGTTTAAACTGCACTGGAAACCAGAATACTGCCTGCACAAATATAAATTCAAGATATGTTTGTTAAATTGAACTAGTCTGACACATGCAACAAAGATGACTCTTTCTTATTCTTGTGATCAATAATGTATTTCGGCAGTCCGTAATTCCACCACTGACTCGCAGACATCTCCCTTGGACTCATACACATATACTCTTACACAGACAGCTGATAGTAATCAGGCTATGAACACTCAAGAAACACAGCAAGAGTGGACTAGACTATTCTGAAGCCCGTTTTCACTGTGTCCACCTTTTCCACAAACACTGTTTCTTTAGAATCAAATAGACCACTCTCCTCACATAAGCGTGAACCTTGCTGAGAAGCCTGACTGATCATACCCTCTTTTCACATCCCAAACAAAGCCTGAATGTTCCCTATACCAAAAACCATCCCCGAGGGATCCTCTCATTAGTATGCACACAAGCCTTCATTGTTACTCCCAGGAAAACCTATCTTGCTACCGTAACCCTTCAGGTTCTTTAAAATCAAGATGGGCCCACAAGTTTTAAAACGTTCTTTATACATCTAAAGCTAAAGGTGCATCAAAATTTTGGAACCAAAGTTAAAACTGACTGCAGTCTAATGAGTATTTAAATACTGAACGGCTGATGGGGCCACGTGGGATTCTCATCTCTAATATGACTCGGTTAACATTTCTTTGTGACATTTCAGACAAATAAACATTTTAACCTTAGAAAGAGCTAGGCTATTATCTAAATTTCACTGGTTGCAACTCTTTCTTTCTTTTATTTTTAATACAACTCGGCAAAATAAAATTATGTTTATATTGTTGGGCATTGTTTCCACACATACATCAAACACACCAAAAAATAAATAGAAACTACATAGGCAAAGGGGAAAAAAAATAAACCTTCATCTCTGGGGTTTTTAACACTATCTCATACAAACCTACTACTTACAATACAATGAGGTAAATATACAAAAAAAAGGTTACTGGAATGCGTGGAATAAGATTGGGGTTTTCTGTTGTTGTTGACAAGTTTTTTCTTTCCCTTTGAGATTATAATGAACATGGTCACACCACAAGTAAAGTCAGAAGTAGGACAGGGAACGTTCTACTGTATTCCGTCGGGAACTAAATCAGAAAAGCATGTGAGGCGCTCTTTTTCCTGATGAGATTCAATGGAGTAATACTGGTGGGCAAGAGCTACGGTACTCATTCATTCAACTCAACAGCTCCGTGAACAGAGACAGGTGAAGAATTCTGACTCAAGGATAACAGCCACAATCCTGGGTATCACCCATCAACTACTAACACCACTTCTCAGCCGGGACTACTCGGTGGCAGAGCTGGCAATGTCTGAAGACCTTTTTTTAATTAATTTTTCTTAAATCTATTTTATGTGTATGAATGTCTTGCTGACATGTATATATGCACCGTGGTGTTTTTTTGTTTTGTTTTGTTTTGGTTTTGTGTGTGTGTGTGTGTGTGTGTGTGTGTGTGTGTGTGTGTATGTTGCACGTGGAGGTCAAGAGAGGGCATCAGATCCCCTAGAACTGGAGTTTTAGGTGGTTCTGAATCTCCATGTAGGTGGGAATGGAACCCAGGTCCTCGGCAAGAACAAGTGCTCTAAATCACTGAGCCATCTCTCCAGTCCCCAGTCCAAAGACTGCCTGGCATCTAAAGATCTTTTACTGCCAAACATCATAGCACACGCCTTTAATCCCAGCACTTGGGAGACAGAGGCATGAGGATCTTTGTGAGTTCAAGGCCAGCATGGTCTATATAGGGAGTTCAGAACAGCCAGAGCTACATAGAGAGACCTTATCTCAAAATAAATAAATCAGTATCTTTTATTGTCACAATGAAAAAAGGGGGTTAGTGTTAACCAGTGGTAGAGTCCCGAGATACTGCAAAGAGAAATGTGCCCACAAGACAGCCCACAACAGGGACTTATTTGGCTCAAAATGTCAATGGTGTTGAGATTAAGAGACATCTGTCCTCGACATCTGTCCCAATTTTTAGTGAAGAGTTTTTTACAACTGTTAGACAAAAGACACCATGGTGGTGTGAGAGGGCCACAGAGTAAAGATGGATCTGTGAGTCATGTCATTACTGCATACATTGCCCAGATTTAAAAAGAAAAAAAAGAGAGATACTGATTCCCCACAGCATCCTGGACATTTGAAGACTGGGGGACTTTCCTTGACGCCATTCAGCTCCGAAGGAGAGGAGTCAAACAAAATCTCTGTCACTTCTCAAAGCTGTGACGCTTAGACCTGGGTTTGAGTCAGAGTTTACCAGTTTGACTTTGAACATGTCACTGGACTTCTCTAAACCTCTCCTTGGAAAAGAAATGAGCTGAGGATGAAGCCCCTGGCTGTAATCCCAGCACTTGAGGAGCAGGAGGATTGTCACAAGTTAAAGGTCAGCCTGGGCTATTCAAGGTGAGTGAGTTACAGGCCACCAGCCTGGGTTAGAAAATGAATTCCTGAAGTGGGGTGTGGTGGCTCTAGCCTTTAATCCCAGCAGAGGCAGATAAATCTGTGAGTTCAAGGCCACCCAGGGCTACATAGTGAGACCCTGTATCAAAAAAAAAAAAAAAGAAAAAAAAATTTACCCAGTACCAAACTACTAATTACATTTTTCCCCCAAGAGTCCAGGGCAGGCAACCAATAGGCATTACTAATCACTTATTAAAAACAAGATTTAAAGCTGGGCATGATAGCACACATCTGTAATCCAAGCACTTCGACTTGGGACGTTGTAGGCAGGAAGATCAAAAGTTCAAGGCCAAGCCCTGTTTCATGGAATGTTTGAGACCTACCCTGGCCACAGGAGACCCTGTCTTAAACAAAAATCAAGATGAAATGTTTAAAGACACATATTTTCCACAACCAAGAACCTACTCTTAAATCCCAGGAGGAAATAAACTAATATAACAACATTTGAAAATGGACAACCTTAAATATTTTTATCAAAACCTTTTTTCATACAATGTATTTTTATTCTAATTTTCCCCTCCTTTCATCCCTAACTATTTTAACCAGCATATATAACCCTGAGATGCTCCAGACTCTCAACTACTCTGACTATCTGGTAGCAGAGGTCATGAACTGGGATAGGAGAAAGAAGATGGTTATAAATCCAGTACAAAGGAGGGTGTGGGGTCCCATGCAGAGCCTAGCATGGGGGGGGGGGGGTGAAGGCAGAAGAAGCGAGAGTTCAAGAACAGCTTCAGCTAGAGTGGAGAAGGCTTAGTCCCAAAAAATGTAAAAATGAAAATAAATTAAGAGGGCTGGTGAGATGGCCCTGTGAGTAATGAGCTAGCCTCACAAACCTGGCAACCCAAGTTTGACCCCCCAGAACCGGTTTAAAGGTCGAACAGGTGCCACCACGCTGTCCTCTGACCTGCCCAAGTATGGCGGCAAATTTGAAAATAAGTTTTAAAACCCCATTGTAGTTTCTGGTTAACATCTATTTACTGTTGAAGTGTATTATTGTCATATCAACGATGTAAAAACTCATTCATTTCAGCGTTCCAACAAACAATCTATTCCTAAACAAATCTATCAGTCTCTGATAAATAGTCAAAACACTTCTGGGGCCAAGTTCTTCAACAGTCCTTGATACACCATACAACCAGGCCTGTTCTTTCAATACCACCAAAGATTCTTCTGAAGTGAGGCTGCACACACTCTCCTCTTCAAACAGTTTGGGACCAAGACAAAGCCTCCTTGTTTTGAGAAAATTACCTTTTCATGGCATCTTACAAATAAATTACAACTGAAATTGTAATCTGCTATGGCCAAGTCTAAAATCAAGCAACAGATCAAATCAACGTTTGAAGGGAGAAAAAAAGAGAGATTAAAAAAAAAGCCAGCTTTAAATATCATTCAAGGTACACGTGTATCAAAACGTCACACAGTATTCCGAAAATAGTGCAACACTGAGGTTTTTAATACATCACAAGGCTGGCTTTACATTAATTAATAAAGCTATGCTTATTTTAACTAAAAAAAATATGAGAGAACATTCTGGTAGCACTGATAATACTGAATTTAGGAAAGAATTTTCACTGTCATTTTACAGACTATTCTAATTACATTTTCCACCTTAAGCATTTTGACACTTCCATCAACTTTCTAAAGGTGAAGGTGGAATGTTTTGCTATGTTTTTAATAGACTTGCTTCTCAAAGAATGAATTAGATAAAACCGGATAGGGAAAACCTATTACCAGTCTTACCATCAATACAGCATGTGAGTAAGCTCCTGGTTATGTGTCACTGTTTAGGTGGCAAGTCATGAAGAACGTATGCGTACTAACTAAAAGCAATGTTACCCAAATGGCCTGTATATATATAATATATATATTATATATATAATATATATATCTGTACTTTTCATCACAGCAAATTTTCCACACTCAGTACCCAGAGTCACATCATTTATTCTATTGCTCTCCAAAATAGCAGAATTCTCGGGGCTCGGCGGCTTCCCTGGCATTCCCAAGGACTAGTGACGACTGCTCATTTCCCAAAGATGGAATCTTCCCGACAGGACCTCACGCGAGCCTCTTCTGAGCCCTCACTCCCGCCCCGAGCGCAGCCACCGGTCAACAGCCGAGACCGGCGGACACGCCACACATAGCGTCCCCGGAGCCCGGGTCCCGCGGCCCCGCCCGCCCGCCCTCCCGGGGCCACCCGCCGGCTCCCAATCGGCCGGGATGTGTGTGTGTGTGTGTGTGTGTGTGTGTGTGTGTGTTGGGGGGGGGGGGATGTCGGGCCGCGACCTCACCGGAGGCGGGGGGCGGCTCTCCCTCTTCGCCGGCGGCGGGCGCCAGGGTGACGGCGCCGTCCCTCCAGACGCGGATCTGCGCGGCCGAGCGCACCCGGCGGTGGGGCTGGCGGCGGGCGGCGGCGCGCAGGGAGCCGCAGCACTGGAAGCACACGGCCCACGCCTGCTCCTCGTTGATGGGCTGGTTGTAGAGGCGCAGGATCTCCTCCAGGCTCAGCGAGTCCCGGGGGCCCCCCGTGGCGCCGAGCTGCGGCCCCTCGCCGCCCGGACTGGAGGGCTGCGCCATGCGGCCCACGTCGCTGCGCTGGCCGGCCGGCGCTCGGGGGGTGCCGCGTCTCCTCAGCTCCGGAGCATCGTCTCCGCCAGCCGCCGCCGCCGCCTCCGCATCCCCGGGCCGCCGCCGCCCAGGCCGGCCGCGCGCCGCCGCGGGGACTAGGCGGGGACGCCGCGGCGCTCGGCGCTGGCCAGCACGCCGCCGGCCGGTAGCGCGGCGATGGCGTCCGCTCGCCCCGCCCCGCCCCGCCTCGCCCCGCCCCTCCTCGCTTCGTTCTGTCTTCGGGGGCCGCGCGGTCGAGCGCGGCGCGAGGCCTGGGGGCGTTGCCCCCGAAGTGAGTGACGTGCGGCGAGGGGCGAGCACGGCCTGGGGGGGCGTCGCCCCCCGTGTGAGTGACGTGCGGCCGAGCGCCGAGCGTGGCCTGGGGGCGTCGCCCCCGGTGTGAGTGACGTGCGAGGGGCGACGGCTTGGCCGGGGCCGGGGCTGTGGGTTCGGCAGGGTCTGCGCGCGCGGACTGTGCTGGCGTCTGGCCGCCCTGTCGCTGTCACCCGGTTCGTCTCGCCTCGGCTCGCTCGTGGTCTATTTAAGAACTTGAATTCAATCTGGGGCGAATTGCTAAAAAAAGAAACGGTCATCTGAATCGCCCCCCCCCCCCCGCACCTGGCTGCCCGTGGCCTCCCGGCTTTGGCCCGTGAGCACGGCTCCCCGTGGCCCCTCGAACCTCGTGGCCATTTCTCCTGGCCACTCGACACATACTGTCCCTGTCCATTTGTAAAATTAATCTTTAGATATATTTATATATACATTTATTTTGAAACAGTCTCCCTGGGTAACCCAAACTGGCCTTGAACTGGCAATTATTCTTCAGCTTGGCTTCCTGAGTGAGATCGCAAGGTATACATACATACATACACCTTAGGTTTCTTGTGTCTGGGTATTCTCTCTCGGCTCACACATTCAATGAGGACAGCGGTCTTGGGCTTGCCTCGCCGAATTCTCCGAAAGCCTAGATCAAGGCCTGGGGTGCGGTGCACAGTGCTCAGGGATTCATTAAGGCAGCCTTTCAGATTCGTTTGAAATGTTACAACAGACTTCCTGGGGTAATCTCCGATAACCACGCTCATCCTAGCCCAGTTAACCCAGCCTGTCATATGAGAAGGAGTTGGTGTCAGAGACAAAGCTAAGGGACCTCCCTGAACCCATTCAAGTGTGCGATTAAACAGATAGTTCTTAAAATGTCCATCCATTGGTAGATGGTTTTAATTGGTAACATCCCACCCAGGCTAGTCTTCGAAATCCCTAGAGTTGTAGCATCAACCAAGTAAGAAAATCAAAGTAGGTACCATTCTATGTGGAATGTGGGGAAATGCACGCTACAGCTAATCTTATAGTAGACATCATCATGGTTAGGTAATGTGCAAGATGTCACCATGCAGACAGCAGGAATTGAAAGAAAAACAGAAAGTCGTTAAGGGTAAGAAATGGAGAGGCAATCGAGGAAAAAAGCTCCGTGAGCACCCTTTTGTAAAACAAACCTCTCAAGTAGAATCACTGAATTATTAGTTGGGGCCAGCGAGATGGCTCAGCAGGTGACAGGACCTTGCTGCCAAGCCTGACAGACAGACCATAAAGTTGTAGGAGAGAACCCACACCCACAAAGTTGGTCTCTGAACTCGGTGAGCATGTGCATATACACAACACACACACACACATACACACACACACACACACACACACACACACACACACACACAAATGTAAGAAATAAATAATGCGGCATTTATGTACAACAAAGCTCCGAGGCAAAGACCTTTCTCGTTGCTTGTGTGTGAGAGTAATACATAGTAATACTAGAATTACTATGATAACATTAATATGCTAACATTCCCAAATTTTGCTATTTTATTTTTTTAATTAAGAAATATTTTATTCATTCCACATACCAACCACAGATGCCCTGGATCCTGTGTGGCTTTTGAAAATACAGAGGAGCTTAAAATTTTTTTTGAACAATGCAGGGAAACAAATGGGCCACTTTTGTGGACAACATCACCATCTTCTGGCCTTATGGAGTATTGCTGCCCATGGCACACGAACCAGTTTTGACCTTGCCTTACCCACTCAAAACATGTTAAATGGATTAATGAAAGGATTCCATGAGCCATTCACTCAAACAGGGCAGTAAATAAACACCCAAATAACTATAACAATGTGGAGAAGGAGGAAAGAGGTGGAAATGAGCAAAAATTTTGTTAAAATCCAAATTTTAGAATTTTTAAAATTATTTTTATTTTATAGGTGTTTTGCCTATATGTACGTCTGTGTGAGGGTGTTGGATCCTGGACTTACAGACAGTTGTGAGCTGCCATGTGGGTGCTGGGGATTAAACCCAGGCCCTCTGAAAGAGCAGCCAATACTCTTAACCACTGAGCCATCTCTCTAGCCCATAGAATTAGAATTTTATGCAGCCCAGGCTGGCTTCTAATTCTCTGTGTAGCCAAGGATAACTCTTGACTGTGTACCCATGCTTGATTTATGCAGGGTCAAACCCAGGGTTCCTGCATGCTAGGCAATAACACTAACAACTTAGCTCTACCCACAATCCCCATGTTGAATATTTTTTTAAATTCTTTGAAAGCTGATTTGCAACCCCAGGATTGTTTTCATTTCCTGAGTAATAATTTTAAAATGTAAACATTTTGAAAGGGAAAAATACCATGAGTCACTGGAAGGTTATACACAAAGAGAGGTTTGAGTTTGCTTTTGTTAAGTACAAATTCTGATATGTAATATGAAGTAGATGCTCTGCCTTTTGTGAGCATACATGTAATTAAGTTGAAGCCAGATGACAACTAGAACACTGACATTCCTTCTCGACACAGAACACGTAGGAGGAAAATCCTTAAAATCATGTCCATATTCTAGTACGCATCTACTCAGGTTGTAGCTGAACACTGGACACTGTGTGTGTATGGAGATTTTCAGTATCTTGCAGTTTTGATGAGCCCCTCGTCCACCATCATGACATTCTCTTCTGAGTGACGGCTAGCTGCTCAAGGGATGCCATGCTCCTTGTGGATCCCTGGAATCCTCTGCCATCGTGGGCAGCTTTCTGCTTCTTATTTTCCATTCAGTCTCAACAGGCTCAAATACCTTTATGTTTGGTATATTTCATTTGAGTTACTCTCACTGGCTTTTTTTTTTTTACTCTGTAATTCAGGGTTTTTTGTTTGTTTGTTTTGTTTTTGTTTTTCAAGACAGGGTTTCTCTGTGTAGTTTTGGTGCCTGTCCTGGATCTCACTCTGTAGACCAGGCTGGCCTCGAACTCACATAGATCCTCCTGGCTCTACCTCCTGAGTGCTGGGACTAAAGGCATGAGCCACCACCACCTGACTGTAATTCGGGTTTCTAAAAGTGACTTTATATATTTAGAATGTCCAAACAATCCAAGTCAACATTTAAGATATCTTCAAAGTGTCAGGAGATTAGTAAAAGAAAATGGCATGGGTAACTCAGAATATAATCTTAAGTTTTCCTTGATTTTCTTATGTTTATTTTAAAAATAGGATCCTGGAGAGTTTTTCTTATATTTACTTATCATTTTTGTAGAATAATTGTACTTCATGCTTGATACTCTGGACGTGAGGCAGGCTGAGCTGCTCCGAGGCCTTTGGGGAGCACGTCCTATCTGTGCAGCCCAAGCTTATCCCAGACACTCCCAGACAAACGCTCCTAAGAGGCACATTCACCTAGAAAAGTACACCAAAAGGGGAAAAAAAATAGAACAGTGGGTTTTTTCCATGTTGTAACCTCAATTTCCAATGTCAATCATTATAGTCCTTATATTGTAGTGAATTTTAGTGCTTTCTTTCTCCAGTTACAAAAACTAAAGGCGGAGTTATTATTATCACTGTCTTACAGGTGGGATGACACAGTCGCAAGACAAATGTAGGGCTGGTAAGTGAGAGGGTGGAGGTGGAGTCCAGGCCTCCTGACCACTCTTCTCTGCTGCCGACACTTAGCCCTCCTCCTATCAAGTCTAGGAGGAGACCATTATGACTGTTTAAAACCCTAGCTGAAATTCCCAAACTAGGCCATCCTCCTTGATTAGTTTTTGTAAATTAATTGGCATTTAGGCTTTGTCACCTCCATCATCTCCCATAGTAATTGCTTTCCACCGGATTGACATGGTCTCATCCCTATAAAACAATTATAAGTCATCACGAAGGCTAACTTACAGTCTTGGGCTGGAGAGACAGCCCCGCAGTTAAGAGCACTTGTTGCTATTGCAGAGGACCTAAGTTTAATCCTCAGTAACTACACCTCTGGCCTCTACACACGTGTACACATACGCGCACACACAAATGTACATATACAGACACACAAAAAAAATGCACATACACATACACAAATACAAGTACCAACCAAATGATTGGACTCTCTCCTATATACACTTTAGAAGATAAATGTACCATTTAAATAATTTTTTTGACACAGTCTCATTCTGTAGCTCAGACCTACCTGAAACTTAAGTAGTTCAAGGTAGCAACTCTTTCTCAACCTTTGGAGTGTTGTGATTACATGTATGAGCCATCACATCTGACTAAAGACATAGTCTCAAGCCTGGCATGGTGATATATACCTTTAACCCTAGGCAAAGGCAGGCAGATCTCTCTGAGTTCAAGGCCAGCCTGGTCTACATTGCTAGCTCCAGAACAGCCAGGACTACATAGAGAAACTCTGTCTTTAAAAAAAAAAAAAAAAAAAAAAAAAAAAAAAAAAAAAAAAAAAAAAAAAAAAAAAAGGCATATTCTCAAAATAATTAATGCTGAAGATACTTTTTTATAAAGGACCTGGGGCTGAGGAGATGGCTCAGGAGTGTGAGTGTTTGTCACGTTACAGAACAGTCACTTAACATAAAATAAAGGCAGTAGTGAGGGAAAAAAAAAAGAAGGGGTGAGGGAGGAAAAAAGAAGAAGAGCATGGTGGTACACATATGTAATCCCAGCACTGGGGAAACTGAGGCAGGAGGATCTCAAGTTTGAGAGCAATCTGGGCTGCACAGCAAAGTTCTGTCTTGAGGAAGGGGATATCATAGTGGGGCTCACAAGATATAGGGAC